CACCAGTCACATAAAGAGTCCATAAACCCCAATATGCCCACTGACAGTCTTAAAGGCCATACACACCAAATAAAAGTGCATACATTTTCACAATCTCCCAGGGGCCATAGTCATGAGGGAGGAGGCTGGCAAATAGGCTTCTCCACAACCCAGGGAAGCAGGGCAATTTGCCATTTAAAGGGCCCGTTACAAATAGCAGTTTGTAACAAGGTGTCACTCCATATCTGCCAAGTGACCCGATGTAGGGGGACCAGTCCCTATTCTGCTCTGTGTCAGTGTGTATCAGGGAACCTTAGGACAGGTGTCAATCCATATCTGCCAAGTGACCCGATGTTGGGGTAACATTCCCTATTCTGATCTGTGTCAGTGTGTATCAGGGATCCTTAGGACAGGTGTCAATCCATATCTGCTAAGTGACCCGATGTTGGGGTAACATTCCCTATTCTGCTCTGTGTCAGTGTGTATTAGGGATCCTGAGGACAGGTGTCAATCCATATCTGCCAAGTGACCCGATGTTGGGGTAACATTCCCTATTCTGCTCTGTGTCAGTGTGTATCAGGGATCCTTAGGACAGGTGTCAATCCATATCTGCCAAGTGACCCTATGTAGGGGACCAGTCTCTATTCTGCTCTGTGTCCGTGTGCATCAGGGGCTCTGAGGACAGGTGTCAATCCATATGTCAAGGTGTCAATATGTCATGTCAGGTGTCAATCCATATTGATTGTGATTTAGGAATGTTAGGTGATTTCTGCCCTTTATGGATTAAAACCAGATTCTGTATCAACTGTGTAATTTTCCATGGGAGTTTTGCCATGGATCCCTCTCCGGCATGCCACAGTCCAGGTGTTAGTCCCCTTGAAACAACTTTTCCATCACTATTGTGGCCAGAAAGAGTCCCTGTGTGTTTTAAAATTCGCCTGCCCATTGAAGTCTATGGCGGTTCGCCCGGTTCGCCGGTTCGCGAACATTTGAGGAAGTTCGCGTTCGCGAACCGAAAATTTCGGGTTCGCGACATCACTAATAATGACCAGCAGTGATGGATGAACCCGCACTCCCCTATACGACACCTATCTATTTGTGTCTCAGTGGTTGGTGACATTGGTAATTACACCAGGGGAACCCCGATTGTACTGACTCTAGGGGACTCCCTGTCAGGCCAGATAACGTAAGACTGGTTACTAACCTCTGGTCTTCTCTCCCGCAGGACTCAAAAACTCCGACATGAGTGACTTACCAACCCAACTACAGGACTTCCAGTCCATGATGCAGGCTGTAGTGACAGCGTCAATGGAGAAGGCACTCTCCAAAATCCTCACCCATCCTCCTTCTGAGGTATCTACAAAAGCAGTAAGCATGACGCCAGCAAGGCTTAAGTCACAACTGTGGCTAAACACCCCAAACTACTAGCGGTATCAGAACTGCCTATACTGTCCTCTAAGGAGGCTGAAGACTCAACATCAGGCGGTGAGGGCGACTGGCTGGATCTCCCAGCCACAGAGTCGAAATAAATCAAGGAGTCATACTTTGGCAGTACCCTCCCTCACATGGATATTAAGACACCCAAGGATGCCTCATGTTTGATCCGAAGACCATACGACACCCGAGATCCCCAGAGTGGTCCTTATCTCCCCATCTGGACAAACTTGTCCATTTCTGGATTCGCAAGCCCATTGAAAGGGAGGTCAGAGCCAGACTCCGGGCAAATGCCCTCAAGACAAAATGGCGGTCACTCCGAAGTGGTTATTTTCATGTCAAGGTCAGGTCGGGACCCCTGCAAAGGAGCGGACAGAGGGCTGAATGCCACCCAGGACAAATTGCTGGACATCCTGGGACTGCTGGCTAAGATACTGTATTTTGCGGATTTGCCCGTCTCTCAATGCTCTCAACTGGACATGCATACTGTTTGTGAGTGGGCACAGCACAGCATATGCCTATTAAGTAGCACGAACGCAGCCTTGTGTACCGAATGGCGCAGAGCCGCGCTCTTCCGGATAGACGCCAAGCTGATGGACATGGCGAAAAAGAAACTCTGTCCTTCAGCCAACGGCTTCCTGTTTGGCGATGCCTTCATCCATGAGCTGAAAAAGCATGTTTCACCACCTTGAACAAGGCCCAAGCATCAAGTGCTTGAGGCAAGTGTTTTGCTCAATTCCATTGAGAGGTGTTTTTGAGAGGGCTGGTCGGCAGAGAGGTCGAGCCACAAACCTTTTCTGGGCCTCTGGCCTCATCCACCACCATCCCAACCTCTTAATACTGGGCCTTTCCTTACTTCAGAGGTGCAGACAAGTCGAGAGGATCATGTGACAGAGGTAGAGGACGCTTCCTCTCCACAATACCTCTTCAATATATGCACTGCAGGCAGGTTTTAGGGGATGCCTGGATCCTACAGACAGTAAGGGGATACACCATCAAGTTCATCTTAACTCAACACTAACATCATCTACCACCCCCTCTACGGGTGTCTAAAGAACACAAGGTCCTTATCGACCCAAAAAATAGATGATCTTCAACAAAGGCGCTGTTTAATTTGCACCGGAAGGAGGTTTCTTCAGCAACATCTTCTTAGTGTGGAAAAAAACATGGGATTTCCATCGGGTTATTAATCTATGACAACTAAACATCTTTGTGGTATACCACCATTTCAAAATTTAATACACCTACTATGAGACCTGCTCCTACAGATCGGTTCGCACGCCTCAACCTAAAGGATGCTTGTCAGTGTCAGTCGCACCTTCCTGTCGGAAATTCCTCAGGTTCCTTTGGAAAGGCGCCACATGCCAGTTTCTCAGACAAACTTTGATTTCCCGGATGGGTTTTGTGGTATACCGGGAGAAATCCGGGGGGTCCGTGGACAACTAAGGAAACAGTGTTGCATATCAATTGCCTGGCTTGTTTGCAATTCGCAGCCTGGCAAAACACATGTCCAACTGTTGCATACTGCTCTGCATGGACAACATCCCAGCCGTCCAATACATCAACCGATTGGGCAGAGCACACTCCCAAGCACTAGTGGAGGCATCCAATCTAACAGCGGACTGGTACTCCCGCCACTGGATGCTCCATCACGACATATTCCAGACTCTGTATGAATGCAAAGGGTCCCTGTTGATAGACATCTTTGCATCGAGTACCCATTGCCAACTTCGGGGGTTCGTCAGCTGGCTGACAGATCCGGACTGCGAAGTAGTGGATGCATTCCTCCAGACAGAGAATTTCACTGCTACTGATTGCTTCATTGTGGTTGAGTCAAGCATGGTTCCCAGACCTGTTGGAACTGTCCTACGATCATCCACTTCTTCTTCTGAAGTTTTTGCTCCTGTTGTCCAACCTCAAGAGTATCCTCTAATCCTAGAGGATCGACTAGAGCTCATGGCTTGGATGGTTTTAGGGTTTCTTGGTATGTCGATGGCCTATCACAGGCCACTGAAGTCTTATTGTGGGACTGAAGGGCTCCCGGCAATAAACGGAGTTACCTTGATGCCTGGAACAAATGGAACAGATTGTGTGGAGAGGGACTCTAATCTCTTTATGGCACCTCTACCAGTCATTTTTAATTTCCTGACGCAACAATTTACCTCAGGTAGTTTATATTGTTCCATTAATGTTACTTGTTCCATTACTGCTGCGCATATTTCAGTTCTCAGTTTGCCGGTAGGGCAGAACCTGCTCATTTGTCAACTTCTTCGGGGTATCCAGGTCTCACGTTCACCCGTTGCAAAATACTCTCGGCTCTGGGACGTGGACCTTCGTTTTCTGAGAGACTGGCCGGGTAATCCCTCATTGTCTGTATGCCAACTCTCTGCGAAGCTGACCCTCTTATTTTGTATAGTCTCTTTTCATTGCGTTTTGGGCTTTTTCTCCAGATGGGGTTTCGTTTTCTATTTCAGGTTGGACTAAGACTAATTCTACTTCATTTTTTTTTACCTGTTTTTTCCGTCAG